TCATTGCCTACGCTTCGAGGCAGCTCAAGCCCCACGAGGCGAACTACCCGACGCACGATTTGGAGTTGGGGGCCGTGGTCTTCGCCCTCAAGATTTGGCGACATTACCTCTACGGGGTTCGTTGTACCATCTACACGGACCACAAGAGTCTGAGGTATCTCATGGACCAGCCGAATCTGAACATGAGGCAGCGTCGGTGGTTGGATGTGGTGAAGGATTATGATTGCGAGATCCTTTACCACCCGGGGAAGGCCAACGTGGTGGCCGATGCGCTTAGCCGCAAGGCGGGCCGATCAGGGACGTATGCCTGAGGATGACCGTAGTGACTCCCCTATTGGAGCAAATTCGGGAGGCTCAACAGGAGGCTATCAAGGAGGAGCATCGGAAGAGCGAGCGCGTGGTGGGTCAGGTATCCTCTTTTGATTATGATAGCCGGGGTCTATTGACACTACACCATAGGGTGTGGGTGCCGTATCACGGGGGCGTCCGCCAGATTTTGATGGATGAGGCGCACAAGTCCCGATTCTCTATCCATCCTGGGGCGACGAAGATGTATAGGGATCTTCGTCTGAACTATTGGTGGCCCTGCATGAAGCGGGATGTGGCATGGTACGTAGAGCGGTGCTTGACCTGCAGGAAGGTCAAGGCCGAACATCAGAGACCGCATGGTAAGATGCAGCCGTTGGACATTCCACTGTGGAAATGGGAAGATATCACCATGGATTTATTACAAAGCTTCCCAGAACCGCGCGTGGAGTGGATTCGATTTGGGTCATCGTGGACCGACTGACCAAGAGTGCTCACTTTATTCCGATTCAGGAGAGCATATCGGCCGAGAAGTTGGCCGATATCTATATCAGGGAAATCGTGGCGCGGCACGGGGTGCCGGTATCGGTGATCTCGGATAGGGATGTACGTTTCACTTCCAGATTTTGGAAGAAGTTTCATGACGAGTTGGGCACTCGATTGCATTTTAGCACCGCCTTTCACCCGCAGACAGATGGTCAGAGTGAGCGGACCATCCAGACTTTGGAGACATGTTGCGGGCGTGTGTGTTGGATTTCGGTGGTAGCTGGGATACCTATCTTCCCTTGGCTGAGTTCTCCTACAACAACAGCTATCACGCGAGTATTGACCGACCACCGTTCGAGATGTTGTACGGGCGGAGGTGCAGAACCCCGATATGTTGGGGTGAAGTTGGCCAGAGAGTCATGGGAAGCACCGAGGTGGTGCTAGAGACGACCGAGAGGATCCAGCAGGTTCGGAGCAGACTTCAGACTGCTCAGAGTCGGCAGAAAAGTTACGCCGATAAGCGTCGATCCGACTTGGAGTTCCAAGTCGGGGATATGGTTCTCCTGAAAGTGTCGCCTTGGAAAGGCGTCATTCGATTCAGGAAGCGGGGCAAGTTGGGCCCAAGATTCATCGGGCCGTTCAGGGTTGTAGCCCGGGTGGGCAAGGTGGCGTATAGGCTGGATCTGCCAGCCGAGCTCAGTCAGATCCACAACACTTTCCATGTTTCGCAGCTGCGGAAGTGCCTGGTGGATGATTCAGCGGTAGTACCGTTGGAGGATATTCAGGTTGATGACAGCTTGAATTACATTGAGCGCCCAGTCAATACTCGACAGGAAGTCAAAGGCTTTGAGGAACAAGAGGGTAGAACTAGTGAAGGTGCAATGGCAGCACCGCAAGGGTTCGGAATGGACTTGGGAGCCGATGGACGAGATGATGGAGCACTACCCCGAGCTGTTTCAGGATCGAGCAGCAGACTTCGAGGACGAAGTCTAAAATAAGTGGGGGAGATTTGTAGCACCTGGTTTCCGGTATGTGAATTTTATTTGAATATTTCCCTATTTTAGCCTTGGACTCGGCGAGTCATAGGTCCGACTCGCCGAGTAGGGACGAGACTCAGGACACGTTTAAGTTGGCGACTCGGCGAGTCCATATCCCGGACTCGGCGAGTCACCGCTGCTGGATGAAACCCTAAATTTCAAGGGTTTGCACCCTATTTAAACCCTCATTCCGCCCCAAACTCGTCCCCATTCACCCCAGAACTCCCAACATCGTTTCTACCCTTATTTCCTTGAGAGATTGAAGTGTTTTGGAGTGTTCTTGAAGATTTTGAGAGAAAGAAGAGTAGATCAAGAAGAGGAGAAGGAGACCAGGCATCTTTGTGTCATCTCAACGTTTTCCTTGAGGTATAGCTCGTTTCCCCTCTGTTTTCAAGCTTGTAATCTCTTTTAGCTTCATGGAGTCCTTCTTGGGCTCTTCCCCAAGCTTGTTTGTGCTTTGTGGGTTGTAATAAGTTGTTAGCCTTTAGATCTAGGCATGATTTAGTCCCTGGAGCTTGGATCTAATGCCTTTATGGGGTCATATTGCATGAAAGCCCTAGATCTACCTCTTTTGGTGCACTTTGAGCCTTAAAATCCATATTGGTGAATATCTACACGTAAAGTTGGAAACTTTACGTGTGATTTGTGCCTAGAAGCCCAGATCTGTGAATGGCATGGACTGGAATCGAGCAAATCGGTGTATTTGATGGATGCATGGCTGCGACTCAGCGAGTCATATATGTGACTCGACGAGTCTGGTCGCGAGTCACTGAATTGGTCCCTTTATGAAGTATCGAGTTGAGCCGTGAGTCACAGGGGGTGACTCGGTGAGTTGGAAGCTGAACTCACCTATGATAGGACTCGGCGAGTCCAAGGCAATCTTCATAGATCAAGAACAGACTCGGCGAGTTGTTCATACAACTCGGCGAGTCTTAGCATAAGTGTTCTTCGGATGAAGATGAACTCGACGAGTTGTTCATACAACTCGGCGAGTAGGATGAAGAGGTTGAACGTCAGTCTAGAAGATGAACTCGTCGAGTCATAGCCTAACTCGACGAGTAGAAACAGGGACTCAGGACAATCGTCTGATAGGGACTCGACGAGTTGGAGAGCCAACTCGGCGAGTCGGGTCAACTGAAAGTTGACTCTGACTTTGACTTAGAGCTAGACCAGGGGTAAAATGGTCATTTTACCCAAAGGACAGTTAACAGTGTTTGATTGAGTATGTTGTGGGAATTGCAGCCGGAGGATTTCCGAGCAGCAGCGGTCAGTTAGTTCCCGATCAGTTCAGCAGCTACTTTGAGGTGAGTTACCTTCCAGTAGTGGTGGGTCTAAGGCCACAATGCCGGCCCACCAGTAGGAGACGTATGATAGATGATTGTCTTTGTGATATCATCTAGGTTTGCTATTACCTAATATGTTATATGCTATCATGATACGTTATATGCGATAGTAGTAGAGTTCGGTTGTTAGGACCGCAGGGTAGTCAGATACCCCAGAAACGTCTGACAGTATGTGATGATATGTTTGTATGTTGGCCTGTTATGTTATGCGATAGAGGTAGCAGGAGGGGACCAGTCCCGAGGATCGGTTGTTAGGACCGATGGGTAGTCAGCACCCCAGAATGGCTTGACATGGGTAGTCAGCACCCCAGAATGGCTTGACACGGGTAGGACGGCACCCCAGAATGGCCGTATGGGTAGGTCGGCACCCCAGAATGGCCGTACCGGGTAGTCAGGCACCCCAGAATAGCCTGGCAGTACGTATGTTATGTGTTTGTATGGTATGTGGTACGTTGGGGGAACTCACTAAGCTTTGTGCTTACGTTTACAGTTTTGTTTCAGGTACCTCTTCACCGAAGGGGAAGGAGCCGGCGCGGTAGCGGCACATCATGCACACACTCTGGTTTCCGCATTTACGAGATTCACTGGGATTGTACTCTGATATTTTGATGGGATGTATGGTTTGACTTTTTAAAACAAGGTTTTGTTTATTAATGTTTTCTAAAGTAATATTTTAAAATGAAATTTTCGGACATGAAAATTGGGTCGTTACAGATGAATGCCTATCTCAAACCAACAAATAATGAGCGTACAATCTCCCCCTTGGTTTGAGGCTAGCATAAGCTCAATCCTTCTCAATGATAAGCACGTTTGACCTTCCCATTGCTCCTAACCATATTTTCTTACTAATAATCTCTACGACCATTCCTATGAATTCTTTAGCTGTAGGCTCTAGAATTTCAGTCTTGACCACAATCTAATGTTCAGGTAGGGTATAAATGTCGCGTTTACCAAATTTCAAAAGATCCCTTGCTTCAACTATTCGGAAAACGCCGGTTGGAAATTTGATGACTGCACTGGTTGTAGCTTCATCATAGACCGAATACTCCATATTTTCCAGAGATCCATCCTGGAAATGCTGAACAATAGGAATTTGGAGCATTTGCTTTGTATGAGGCCACATCACAGCCTTTACTGTCTGGTTGGTTTTGGGATCGAGGATGTCTTTGAATCTCTTGACAAATGACTCAACAGTCTTCATTCCGTCAAACTGCCTCTTCACCTGATTCTCCAAGAAGCATTTGAAATCGTTTACGTGAGGATCATTTGATGGATTGTGAAAAGGAGCATCAGCAAGTTCTCCAAGATCTACTCTAGTCCATGAGCAGAAGTCATTTTGTGTTTGTAGTACTCCACCTTTCCACTTTTCGTCTTAGCCATCCAGACATTAAATTTTTCATGAAATCCCCACATCAAAATCCAGACCGGTCTCCATATTTGACCCTGAAGCGCTTTTTCTTAAGCTCTATTATAGTCAGTTGAGGTTGATCTCCATGAACATTTTTGTCAGAGTTCTTCATGAAGAGCAGACCACCCCTTCGCTGAGCAGTAACTTGTTTTTGAGCTTGCTTTAGAGTTATTATTGGATAAGCTTGAGCGGGTTCATTCTCGAATCAATCAATGATACGAGTTGTTTTGAAAGGTTGATCAATGGGAGGATCTTGAGCAGCTTGGGAAGGAGCGCAATGAGAAGATTCTACTACATTTGGTTCAGTGACCGGTGTCTTGAAGTTGTCGCGAAATTCACTGATTAGCTTGTTCTTCAGGTCGAAGTATCCAATAGAAAATGCACCTAGATTTAGCTATAAGTCAGAGATCTATTTTATTTTTAAATATTTTCCTTCTCAAGCTCGGAAACTATGATGTTAAGAGTTCCTATCAAAACATCCTTCTCGATAAGCTTTTGATTTAGAATTCCGATCTCTTCCTTGAGCTCAAAAATAATTGCTTCTTCTTTGTCTGAGGTCCGTGCACCTATAGAAATACCTTTTCCTCTTGGTGCAGGATCAACATCCTCACGAGCCAAAAATCTTGCCTGCCGCTCAGAGGTTGCATCATGTAACGGTGGAGGAGTTGAAGAGCCACCAGGAGTGGAAGAGCTCCCGACTTCATAGAAAGACCATACAACACTTGGTCTTTCATTCACAACATGAAAATCGGTTGGGTTAGGTTGGGATGGAGTATCAACTGCACAGGTTGTTGAACATTCTGAGCAGGTTCCCTAATAAGCACTCTCGTCCTAGGATCATCTCTTCTCCTTGTAATTGGAGGTTGGGAGGCTTGGGTCTCATGAAGATCACTCTCAGATGGCGTAATAGCTGGAGTAGCATCAGCTTGGGGAGGAATCATTGCAGATGAATCCAGATGAGCAATATGTTGGCCATCTGATCAGTTGGTGGTGGTGGTACTTTAAGAGCATTAAATTCTCCCCTATCCCCGTTGAAGGATTTACAATATCATTGATGTCGTCAAAGAATGAATCGAGGTTGTAATTGCTTGGCTCTAAATCAAAAAACAGATCATCATCATCATATCCTGACAAATCACCTTCATGATCCATACCAGCTCCCTTTTCATCTTCATCATCACCAAAACCTAGATAATTATCACTAAAATCCAAACCATCATCAACTTCATTATTAGCATCATCATTATCATCATCATCATCATTGGCCTCCATATTCATCACTGGAACATGTTCCTCAGCTACAATTATGATAGGAGAAACAACATTTTCTTCATGATCTGAGATAGTGACAACATCATCTTCATCATCTGAAGTACTTTCTGATTCAGATGCATCACTAATCTGTAAAAACTACCGAAACTTCTCCTGTGGGTACTTTCCTTGAAACTCAACTTTTGTACCCTTGCGATTTTGCCTCATTAAACCAAAGGTGTTTGCACCCAGAGATTTTAAATCCAAGGCTTCTCCACTTCTTTCCAAATCTGGATATTTACAGTTGAAGATCATCTGAAGAAATCTTGGATACATCAAGAACTCGTCCTTCCTTTTCCCTTCTAGATTTCTCTTCCTCTCATTTAACACAAATCTTGAAAAGTTAAATTCAAGATCCACGAAAAGAGCAGCAATAGCACCAGTGTTTAACAGGGAAATCTCATCAGCACCAGTTTTCCTGCAGGATATACAGATTACAAAGTAGTGAGCAAGAAAATGCCAGTAAGATGGCAACAGCTTCATTAAGGTGGGTGGGAACACTCCTTCATAGCCCATCCTTTCAAGAATCTCTTCGGTATGTCCTATGGAAAATTCAATTTGAAACCCTAGCTAGAGGTTGATTTGAAGCACTTTGTGAATAGTTTGCTCAAAGACCACAATCTTTCTTTCGTGAACAATGGATTCCCCTATGTCTTCTCCGTTTTCTCCTTTATTCACTAAAGCTTTGTTCAAGAACTGCCTCACTAACTCCTGATAGATGATTGGATTTGACTTGAAGGCATGCACAAGATAGCATTTCTTATGTCCATGAATCATGGACCTAAAATTTTGGTGAGCAACTGGAGGATCAAACAGAAATGCAACGATGTGGTTTTCTGAAAATTTCAAGGCAACCATTTGTTCTGCACCAAACAATCCAAGTGAAATTAAGAATTTAGTTAACTAAAATTAGGTTTCTCCAATAAAAGTTGATTTAAGCTTCAAATTTAATTTTATTTAGATGAAAAACAGGTTTATGGTTGAAAAAGAGTTTACGCCTGTAAACGTGTTTACGGCTGTGAACTCGTTTGCCGTTGTAAACGACGACAAACTCTATTTGTCTTTCGAATTCTAAAAAAACGATTAAATCAGATGAAATTTAGCATTGAGGGTTGCCATCCTTGAACGTGTAAGAATCATGATCAATTTCAGACAAAATGAAACAGAATGGGTTTACGGTTGAGAACTCGAGAGAAAAGGAAGAGGCGTTTGCAACTGTAGACGTGAAAGTGAAGGAAAAGAGTGTTTTTTTGCCGGAAACCCTCCCTTATATACTTGGACCATATCCGACCCATAACCCATGGGCTGTAAACCAAAAAACTTCAAGCCCAAACCTAATACATCCAATTTTAATTAAAATGAAAATATTTTGAAGACATAAAAATAAAATAAAATAAAAATAAAATTAATAAATAAAAATAAAAATAAAAATAAAATCTAAAAAATTAAATGCAAACTAAAAAAAATTTTAATTTTTTTTTAATTTTTAATTTTAGAAAATAAAAATAAAATAAAATCACTTTAAAAACTTTTCAGTACCTTCACCTTCAAGAATAGATCTAGTCAATCTTAACCTGTCTTTATATTTATGGGATCAAAGTTTTGAGACAATCTTAACCTGTCTTTCAGTACCTTCACCTTCAAGAATAGATCTAGTCAATCGTCGGTATTGTGGTCCACTTAAATATGAAAAATTGATAATATTTGACAGATTATAAGTGACAAAACTTTTGACCCTGTATAGTATTCCTAAAGGGACCATTTGGTTGAAGACAACCAAGGATATTGTTGTCCACCTAAATTTAGCAGCGAGATCTACAAACAACCTATTGGATGTTGAATTTTAGATGTATAAAAATGTGTTTCCCACTTCCTAATATACCCTGATAATCAAGAACTTCCAAAGTACTCCTTACTTTAGATGAGCAGACAATTATTAAGGAAGAAGATAAATTTAGAAATGCATATGTCGTATTCCTAGGTCGGATATCTTCCAATCACGGAGAGGGATTAAAATATGACTAACTTAATTAGAGGGATTAAGAAATAGAATTTTGCATATGCTATGTTCCAGGTCGGATAAAATTTTATCACATAAAGGAGACATCATATAACTAACAGATATAAATAATTGTATATAGAAGGAGATGCATAGAGATATAGTTGCATATGTTGCAGTCCATGTCGGATCTCTTACAATCACGGAGAGGAGGCAAAATATGACTGACAGAAAAAAAAAGCAAGAAAATAATCTTCTAAAGACCCACTTTATCGGAATTTCCTAGTCGCCCTATCAATACCAGAATTAAGGACATGAGACCATACATCAAGGAAAAGTTAATCCACAATTCTAGATATATATTATTTTAGTGTATCTCGCAAGTTCCCATGTATATATCACTGCTCAATCTAACCGAGCGTCGTATTTTCAGACCAAATGGAACTAAGTAGGTTCACAAAGTTAAGTCCTTTCAATTGTCAATCTATGTCAAGTCCTTTTGAATCTTTCGTGCATACTAATGCATTGAGCACAGAGCCTAGACAATTCGAATTCAGTACTTTACACAAGTTATAATTTCCCGTTATCACTTGCTTGATATCACTTCGTAAATTAGCACTTGCAAATGAGCCATCATGAGAATATATTTTTGAATTTTTGTTTTATAATTTTCTATGTTTTTATTCCCGCCCCCCCTAAATTTGTGCATAGGAGAGAAAAGAAATAAAATGCACAAATTTAAACAATCCTAAAACAGAATTAGTTTTCAAAACGTATCATTTTCAGAAAGCTCACAAGCACATCGAATCGAGATTTGTTGAACGGTTTGGTGAACAGATCCGCCACATTATTATTGGTGTGAATCCGTTTCAAACGGATGAGTGAACGCTTATAACAATCTCTAATAAAATGAACTTATATATCGATGTGCTTGGTTTTGGAGTGTTGGACTGGATTTTTATCAATTTGGATTGCAGTATCAATGTCCCAAAAGATTAGAGTTTCAAGAAAATTCAAACCATATTCCCAAAGTTGGTGTTGAATCCAAATGAATTGGGAGCAGTAGGAAGAGGCAACAACATATTCAGCTTCAGTTGTTGATGTTGACACGGTTTGTTGTTTCTTACATTGCCAAGATACCAACCAGTCTCCCAAAAATTGACACCCTCCCGATGTCGATTTCCTATCAAGCTCACATCCTCCATAGTTACTGTCAACAAATGCATATAAATCAAAATCGAAATTTTTAGGATACCAAAGAACCAATTTAGGGCTACCTTTGAGATACCTAAAAATCCTATTGATAGCAACTAAATGCGAGAGTTTAGGATTAGCCTGATAACGCGCGCATTGACAATCTGCAAACATGATGCCGAGTCTGTTGGCCTTTAGATACATCAGGGAACCAATCATCGAGCGATAGTCAATTTGATCAACAGGCTCCCCCTTTGGGTCGGGAGACAATAGTGGTCTTTCTGCCATCGGAGTTAATGAAATCTTTGAATCTTTAAAACCAAACTTCTCTAACATATCTTCAACATATTTGCCTTGATGTTACAAGATTCCGTATGAATCTTGTCTAACTTGAAGCCCTAAGAACATGGGCATTTCACCCAACGAACTCATCTCAAATCTTTTCTTCATGATAGTCTCGAACTCTTTGCACAACTTGGAACTTGTCAACCCGAAGATGATGTCGTCCACATAGATCTGTACAAGAATCAGGTCGGCACCAACATGCTTGATGAATAAGTTTTGATCGTTCGTGCCTCTTGTATATCCATGTGCAAGCAAGTGCTCTGTAAGAGTTGCATACGAAGCTCTGGGAGTCTGATGTAACCCATATAAAGGCTTTTCCAACTTGTAGACATGATTCAAAAACTTGCAATTGACAAACCTAGGAGCTTGATCAACATCAATTTCTTCTTTTATAGCACCATACAAGAAGGTGGTCTTGATGTCCATCTACTTTCATAGCACCATGCAAGGAATATATGAATTACTTCCAATCATGCAACCGGAGCATATACTTCCATGTAGTAGTTACCCTCTATTTTCCAGAATCCACGAACGACCAATCGAGCCTTATTTGGCACAATCACCCTGAAATCGTCTTGCTTATTTCGAAAAACCCAGCGTGTGTCTAGTGAATTCTTGCCCTTCGATAATTCAACCAACTTCCAAACACTTAGTTTTTCAAATTGGTTTAAGTCTTCGTGTATCACATCAACCTAGCTCGGTTCATTTAATGTCATTGCCACATTCTTGGGTTCAATCTGAGAGATTAAGAAATAATAGAGACATGTACTGACATCTCCACTCTGACTTCTCGTTTTAACACCTTCACCCAATGGGTCAATGATATTTTCGATCAGATGATCACATTGAATTCTAGATGGGATCTCTTAGCTGATATCATTGATTGTGACAGGAAGATTGTTAATATTGACAAAACCATCATCTGCTAAGTCACTCACCTCAAACGATCTAGGACCGTGAGAGGTACTCACCACATAATCGTTCAAAATCGGTTCAGAAAAGATAATCTCCATGAATGATAAAGCAGTAGTGGA